CCAGTTACCGTTCGCCTCACTCGGGTCGTGTGTGGATTTTCATTTTACTTAAACAAGGGGCAGCAGTAAGCAACAAGAGAGCAGTGCATTATTGCAAACGATCGACTGTCAAATTGATGATGCCTTCTCTACTCAGAGACCATGCGATGAAATATTATGGGTTAGTGTGACCTCTATGCACTCAGCTTTGTCTGTGCCATTTTCAGCAGCCAGCATGTTGAGTCACCAGCTAAATTCAGGCTCATTGCCATGCCTTCTGGGAGTGAGTTTTAACATTTAAGGACAAGTCTATTCAAGTAAAAGATACATTATAGAAATTAAGAAGTAGGCCTACAGTACATGTAAAAGTTTCAAACAATGTGAGAAATTATTCATTATGAGATATAAGATATTATCTTAGTGTAGCCTAACTACTAAACAAAATGCACACACTATAGGACAAAAACACTGCACTGTAAAATCCTCCTCCTGATCTTCCACACATGTGAGACCTAAAACAGAAGCAGCAGGGTCTGTGCTGGCGTTTTCCAATCACTCACTAAGGAACAATGTGAGAATTGTCATTTGGAAGCTGGTGATGTGATGAAACATTGTACGCCGCCAAGAGACAGGAGCAGAATGAAGATCAATACGTTTTTTGTCACAAGGCAAATCGTTTTTGACATTTGGCAGAGTGTCATGCAGGACAATTACTCAAAATGGCATTGGCCCACATTAACATACCACTACAACAGCCCGGGTACAGGCAGGGAGCGAGAGCATCTTAATAGCATGGAGCTTTATATATTTGAGGTATGAACGCTGGGAAAAGTGGATGAATGTTAGTAAATTGCATACTCTATATTTCAGTTCTCTAACAGAGGTAAATGGCATTTCCAAACCAGGTGTCTCTGGTATGGCATGTCTGCAAATTATCAAAGTGCCACTCACATTTTGTAATGAAACTCCTGTCAATCTAAGTGGGTGGTCATTGAGCTACATTCTTTCAGATTTAAGTTTCAGACTTCAACAGGATGAATTATAGCAACATTTGACGGCTCTTAAACCTGGAGTGAATGCTGTCACATTTTTAGACATCCTAAAAAGAGAGATTCGAAAGCAGAATAACGTGTAAGACTGTAAAACAATGTTTAGTGCTGATATTTACCTGAGTGTCCCTGTGATTGACTGCTGCACTCTGAAGAGCCATGACTCCCCTGACTTCGCTGTGTATGGACTTTGCTGATGTGTTAGAAATCACATAAATCCTTAAAGCTCTCGTTCTACTGATGTTCACTGTTTGGTCAAAGGGACACATGTTATTCCCTTCTTTTGTTCTCCTTTACTGTGGCAGCATCTCAAATGAACACCTGAAATAGACTTGACAGGCTTTGTTTTTAAAAATGTCAAAGTGCTGAGACAAATTTACCTTGTAATGTGCTACAGTCGCACTACTGCTTTTTATAGAACCTATCATTGGTTGCGTTGCAGGAACAGTTTTCATTTTGTGTGTTCCCAAGATTGTATTTTGACAAGCCGAGAACAGAGACATGCAAGAGAGGGTTGCTGAATTTGCCTCGTTGCCAAAAAAAAAGAAGAACAATCAAAAGGCTCTTAGCTTCATGTGATTTTTTGAAGTAGAGTGGTTATGCACAACGGCCATGTGTCTATCTAATTTACAAAACAAAATAGGCATTTGTAAAATAACAAAGAATATCTCTTTTTTTTTTTAAACTGTCTTTACAAAATGTAACTTGAGGGTGTGCATAACATATAAAAACGTGTGTGTTTGCAGCCATAGTATTTTCAGTGAGAGGTCGTCAGTATTCACAGTCTGTTGATTCTTGCAGGGATGAGCGCATTTTCGAGTGTGTGTAGTGGACCTTTTTGTCCTCTCTTTTTTTTGTTATTTGATACTTGGTGTGCAAGTGTGTGTGCGCTCTGTGTCACAACCACCCTGCTAAAAACCAACAGAGGGCTCTCTTATAGTCAGAGCATGGTGGCCAACGCCGCTCCTCAGCACTGCTTACTAACACAAACAAAACAGTCTAAATCCTCGAGGTGGGCGGTGGTATTTCAGCGCTCTGTCTGTGCCGTGTCTGCTCTTGGTTAGGTGGCCTGTGCACTTCTCCAAGTACACCATCTGGGTAATGGTGGGCATCCAAGGTAGAGTTGTTGCCATTGATTTTTAGTGCTTTAACAGTGCACTGCTCTAAGTTGAAGCCAGATGGTCGCTCCATCTCGTTCTGCAGCTTCTATTTGTTGGAGGGAATAAAAGACTGCTCCTTCTGCATTTGTCCACTTACACGCTGTGCTACTCGCCAGTTTCTCTCCGCCCGCCTTTGGTAATTTTTTTCCTGCTCCTGACATGTTTTGCAACCTCTCATCTCATCTAGGCATTTCAGTAGATAATGCATGTTGTTACATTAAAGCTGAAAGTACTGGAGGAGGATCTTTCATTTCAGATAGAAGAAGCATGTGTCTGCAGATAACGCGTCTGTTTGCCAACATGGAATATATATAGGATGCAGTATGGAAATCACTTACATTTTGCTTTTTGTGCCTTGTTCTGTAATCCTAGGGAGTGACATTTCTTCTGCACAAATCATTCATTTCCATACATGTATAACTTTCTCCTACATCAGATAGGGGTTGCCCACTTTTTTAATCAGATGAAAACGTATTCATAGGGTGCTGCATATAATATCCCTTTTGTTAAAGCACACAATAATGGCAGATTATTAAACATTGTTTCTCTCATCGATGGATGGAAGAAACAAATTCATCATTTGTTTTCTCTTCTCTCTCTCAGTGAGGTTATTCACTGCCTGACAGAGATTTATTATATAATCAATTACTTTATCTACCTAATACTTAAAGCACTTAATCAGTGCCAGTTAATCAATCTCCCCCATGATTTCATGTTGATTTAATTTCCTTAGCTACTGGCTGTGCCCCTTCAACACCTGGTCGCATGCATTATACATTTAGCCTCCCTAAAATGCTTTGGGCAGCCATGACTGCAGACTTAATTATTGTGTGTGAAACAGCCTGAACCTTTAAATGTAAGCACTTGAAGCTGTATGCAGTGTGACCACTCATAAGAGCTTCAGTGGGATAAATCGGGGTTTGTGGTCACCACTTGGGTTGAAGTCTGCAAACACAGAGCCACTTCAGAGGCTTGTCTTTATCCCCGCACCACCAGCAGCAGCAGCAGCAGCAGAGAGACTGGGAAGTCTTCATGTGATTAACTCCACCAGCAAGCTACACTCTCCACTCGCCTGCTCTCTGAGATCCTCCTCACCGGGGTCTGCGCACACATCTCATCTGAAATGACTCAGACATATTTCAAGAGAGCGCGAAAAGCTGTAATGGTAATTTGCAATTCTACTTTTAACAGACCCAAAGGGCTGCTTGTGTCGAGAATTACCCACAGGAGGATGTTTCTTTTTACAAAGTGAGGGAAGAGGAGGACATTAAAGAAAAGCAGTTTTTGGTGATAAAAAAGAACAATGAAAAGTTGCTGTATCAAAAGTTGTATCAAATTAAGATGGCCATCAGTTGCTGAGCTTCGTAATGAATATTTCATTTCCATCTAAATGTAATCTCTCCCCAGACGGAGGGAGAAGCCTGCTGGTGGAGGAGGCTTGGGGCTGGGGAGTTGTCGTTGTGAATATGAACAAAGGCTGGTAGAGGTCACAGAAGAATTGAATACAGGGAGAAGCGTCTTTGAAGATTAATTCCATTATCTGTTAGCGAAAGCAGAGATTGAAGGGGGAAGAACACAACCGTTGTTTTACCTGCGCTTACACACTCCTCGTCATCCACTTGTATAAACATCGATGGATAAATGAACTGCAGAAGAAAAAGCAGGGGCCTATTTTCTGCGCACGCCACGCGCACGCCACGCGCACGCCACGCACACACACACACACACTACACACGACACACACACACACCACACACACACACACCACCACACACACACACACACACACACTACTACTACTACTACCTACTACTACGTACGTACGTACGTACGTACGTACGTACGTACTACTACTACTACTACTACGTACGTACGTACGTACTACTACTACTACTACTACTACACTACTACTACTACTACTACTACACTACTACTACTACTACACTACTACTACTACTACTACTACTACTACACTACTACTACTACACACACACACACTACTACTACTACTACTACTACTACTACTACTACTACTACTACTACTACTACTACTACTACTACTACTACTACTACTACTACTACTACTACTACTACTA